TTCCAGCAGCAACCTTAGTTTTTCCCAGGAGGTCTCACATCCAGGTACTGACCAGGCTCACACCTGCTGAGCTTCAGTGGGCTGCCAGTTGTGAGTTGCAGAGTGATATGGCTGCTGGTAAAAGTGGTCCTGGGGTGAGGGTGTGCATATCTGTGTCTGTGTGTACCCTGCTTTTAGCCCATTGCCTGTCAGGATAGGCTTTGGCTCCTTGGCAATCCTGTACAAGATAAAGCAGTTAGAAAATAGGTGGATGGGTAGACTGGAACAAGTTACCCAGCCCCGTGGTTGAAGGTGATACCCTACATTCTTTTTAGAAATAAATGGATAAGATTCTCAGATGAATTGTGTTCTAGCGACCAATTGGCACTAGAACAACAAGGTTTACCTTTGCATTTATAACATATAAATCAATTATTTACATCAGTCTTGCCAGACATAATTAACCTATTCTCAGCATTTCTGAAATAACAGATCATCTTCTCAATCATTATCTTATTATGAACTGACAGTTCTGTAAAATTATAATGTCAACGCAAGCACTTAGTGCTTGGCAACATGGAAAGATCAATTGCTTTCTTTTGCTCAGAAGTCTAAACCTCCAATTTGCTGCAATTATCATTGCATTAAATTATGCAGTATTATCCTGGTTTCATAAAATGGTTTGCTTTTTTCTGTTAAAACAAATACTTTGCGAATTGCTTAAGCTTGAAATGATGGAAACCACGTAATTAAAAACATAAGAATGAAAAAACAGAGCTGTATATAAACACTTAAGCAAAAGTGTTTACTCTTTACTCCCAGGGTATTTTTAGCTTAATAAAAACTTGATTAAAAACAAAATGCAAACCGTATTAGACAGTTGTATGAATGTATCAAGTCTTTATCAATGTAAACAAATCTAAAACAATTTTATAGACGCCAGTTTTCGTTGCCGACTCATCCTCATGAGGTTAATTTAACGACAACTCATTGGAAGGACCAGAGTTATTAAAACAGTCGTCCCTTGTCACCCGCTGGGCAATTGGTTTGAAAATTCTGATCCAGAGGGAAGAGCACTACCTATCTGTCCACTAACACCACTTGCAGCAGCAACCAGATTTACTGTAGAAATCTCCCATCCCTGTACAGACCAGGCCCAGCCTTGTTTACTTTCTGAGATCCGACGACATCAGCCTACAAAGTTCCATCACTACTATCTGTGAAACACAACAAACCAAATGATTTATATTTTGTGAAGCGCTAAATGTGAAGTGTTAACTGGGAGAGTCCCTGTAGGATTTTATAAACATTCAGTCACCCAACAACTCAAGAGAAAGAATACCAATCTACCGTATTGAGTTCTGATTTCCACCCTTGATTTTAAATTCACGGAAGCTCCCATGATCCCTCTTTAGGGCTCCTGCGAAATTAGACCAATCAAGGCCTAGGTCAGTGTTTTCGCTGTTGTGATTGGACGACACAGCGGAAGCGCGATATTCAAAGTGTGTAACTGCAAGAGACGGCACAATTCAGTAAAAAAAAAAAAGCTATCAATGCACATCTGGCTATATTGATAGGTGTTTACAAGTTAAAAGAAAAGGAATAATTAATTTTAGCGAAATATTTTTTAGAAGAAGGAGTTGAAGACTTTCACACTTTTAAAGAGCGCTTTTTACTGAAGGTAGGGTGATATTTAAATCGCTGTTGATAGGAGTTTATTAAAGACAAGCAAGCCGCGCTAAAATCGTGTTTTGTAGTAGGGCGAATGCTAGTCTGATGTAGTTAATGTTGATCATTCCCGGGCTTTCTTTCGTATTCATCTAATTTAACAAGCACGAAGAAATGTAATGTCGTGTGGCTATTATTTGTTTTTAGTTACTTTGCTGCCACCCGAGTTTATACCATTTTCTGCCATTTGTGTTTGGTTTTGTAATCGATTTTTTGTGTTGCATAGGTTTACAACATTGTTTGTACTGCTGGTGGATTTGTTGAAAAATGTCTTCACACAACAGCTCCATGGTCAGCAAAAAAGAGGAAAAAGCGAGAAATATACAGGTTGTTGTAAGATGCAGGTAAATGTGTCCTGGACAGAATATGTGTTTATAAGTGAATATGGTTTTATTCTGTTATTTTCTGAATGACTTCACTGATAAACTTGATTAAGTTTTGTATTTTACCGTGCAACGGAACTGAAACACACATATATATATATAAACAATTAAAACTATGTTTCTAAGTAATACTATCGATGGGGTTTTGGCTGGTTCATCTTACTGGTTAGACCAAAACATGCTGTCGGTTTTGACAGCTTCGTAATGGATTGCTTTCAATGCAGTGAGAGCTGAATAAATTACGATATCACGATACTTTGTCTGCTTTCTCAAAAATGTTTCGCATCTGCGCAAGCTATGTTGACAGGAGGAGACAAAAAAGAAACACTACACGTACACAACAAGTCATTATTAAACGTGCAACTGATTTTTGTGTCTTTGCGTTTGGATTATTAACGTGCTTTGCAATGTCAGCAGATTATTAAAATACTTTCTTGGGTTTTGCAATGCAGACCTTTCAATGCAGCCGAGCGCAAGGTTGGTTCTCACAGCGTGCTGGACTGCGAGGCCAGCCGGAAAGAGGTGGCTGTGCGTACTGGCGGTGTAAGCGATAAGTCGGCCAGGAAAACCTATACTTTTGATATGGTAAGAAAGCTTTTCAATTTTACATACAATTTTATAAACCTGTGATTTTGGGAAATATTGGAATTTCCTCATAAATGTTGCGCCCAGTGTCGCAGCTCCTGTGTAGTGGCCGTGCCTGACCTCACAAGGGCTAACTAACTCATTCAAAGCAGTTCGGAGGTAACTACTGTTTAATTCCACTGTGTCAACAGTGAACACACTGAAGTTCGGTACTTTATTTTTGTGATAGATGAAATAAACATAATATTATACATATACTGTATATCGTGGAGGGGGTGATATGTGTTGGTAATGATGGATTGGGGGTGATATGTGTTGGTAATGATGGACTGGGGTTTTTAAACCGTCTAAATAGCGTATTGCAGATCAGTTTATTGCACTTGAAACACGCATCTTAGCATCTGTCCTTTGACTTCTTTCAGGTTTTCGGGCCGTCCGCCAAGCAAATCGATGTGTACAGAAGTGTGGTTTGCCCCATTTTGGATGAAGTTATCTTGGGATATAACTGCACAGTTTTTGCGTGAGTACTGGCCCTTCGCTACCTGCCGTATTTCGTGCCATACCCATAACCCATAGTGGGCCCTAGGAACTACGTTTAAGACATCGGCAAACTGCTATGCTCAATACTATATTTTATTTGGCCATTCAAATATATATATATAGATTCTGATAAAATAAGATGTGAAGAATATGTACAAATCTGTGATAACTCTCCTGTTTTTGTAGCATTACATAATATCAAGGTCCTGAGGTAATACAACAACATAGTATAAAGTACATTGTTTATATCAAAGTCTTTTTTTCTGTACAGATATGGACAAACTGGCACAGGCAAAACCTTCACAATGGAAGGGGAAAGGTCACCCAATGAAGAATATACATGGGAAGAGGTAGGGCCAGTACCAACATCCTTTTGCTTTTAAGAGTGAAAGTGTAATGTGATGCATTTAATTAATGTCTGCAAAGAAACCAGCAGCTAATTGTTATTGCTTTGGGAACACTATTAGTCTTGGCAGTAAGACTTGGAATCTATTATATTTTGGAGATGCCATTTGTTGCATGCAAAGTTGCATTATCAATCACCATAATCAATAAGCATAAGGGAGCCAGTTCCAGAGATTTGGCTGATCTTCATGTTCACCAGATGAGGTGTTATTCTTTAGTGCTTCAGATGTTCCTTTTGTTTGTCCAAATCACTATGGTAAAGTTACATCCCTCTATAAAACAGTTCTGAAACTCTCCAGGCTGTTTTGTACTGCTTAACACGTTGAGAATAATGCCATGTCATGTGCTGGGCATGCATGGCTGAGTCTGGAACTGACTCGTCTCTCCTCATTGATTAAACTAATAGTGGATACAGCAGAATTAATTCTGAGGTTTACAAAAATATTTTTTTTCCGTATGTAGAAGTAATTTTCATCAGAAGGATATGCAACTTTAAGTTTCCGTTTAAGTACATTTCAGTTCTCATGGAGTAAATCAGTATTGTTACAATTTTGAATATGGTAACTTCTGTTGATGGTTGTCTGTGGAAACATCTTTCCTGCCTTTTATTTTAGGACCCACTGGCTGGGATTATTCCCCGTACTCTTCATCAGATCTTTGAGAAACTGACAAGCAATGGAACAGAATTCTCTGTCAAAGTTTCTCTGATGGAAATCTACAATGAGGAGCTTTTTGATCTTCTCAGTCCTTCTCCTGATGTCACAGAAAGGCTGCAGATGTTTGATGACCCACGTAATAAGGTGCAAATCTCAATTTTCTTCTGCAATGCTGGTAAGGGCAGCCGTGTGGAGCAGTGCAGAGGGTTCTGGATGTGTAACTGAGAGGTTGTGGGTTCCAATCTTGGGTGAAACATTGCTGTTTTGCCTTCGAGCAAGGTACATTCACCTGTTAAATGTCTATAAATAGGTGCAAATGTAAGTTGCTTTGGATAAGTATCAGTCAAAACTAAGATATTTCTTTGTACTTTGTCTTAAGTTTTTAAAGTATAACTTCGATAAACCTGGTGTTTTTACACACCTGTGCTTTTTGGCTTTGTCCTCAGAGGGGAGTCATTATTAAAGGACTTGAAGAGATCACTGTACACAACAAGGATGAGGTTTATCAGATCTTGGAGAGAGGCGCCGCAAAGCGCAAGACTGCTTCAACTCTAATGAATGCCTACTCCAGGTACTGGTATCCTCTAGTTGTGCAAAAACCTTGTGCGTTTATTGCTGCGGCTTTTGCAAAACTCTAAAAAAACAACAACTTTTTTTTCTAGTCGATCGCACTCCGTTTTCTCGGTCACTATTCACATGAAAGAAACCACCATGGACGGCGAAGAACTGGTGAAGATCGGCAAACTGAACCTCGTAAGTCTCTTGGGCTCGGTAGTCTGCTTCTCGGCCTGGCTCCCTGTGGCGGCTGGTGCTACTCCTGCTTCCTCCCCTGCAGGTTGACCTTGCCGGGAGCGAGAACATCGGGCGCTCGGGGGCGGTTGACAAGCGGGCCCGAGAAGCCGGCAACATCAACCAGTCCCTGCTGACGCTGGGCCGCGTGATCACCGCGCTGGTGGAGAGGACGCCCCACGTGCCCTACAGAGAGTCCAAGCTGACCCGCATCCTGCAGGATTCCCTGGGCGGACGCACAAAGACATCCATCATCGCCACCGTCTCGCCCGCGTCGATCAATCTCGAGGTCTGAGCTCGATTGGCTAGTACTGCTTTTCCACAGACTTTCCTAAAAAAAGTCTTCATTCCTTATTTTAAGCTAATCTTATGGTCTTCCAATTTAGGAAACGCTAAGCACGCTGGATTATGCCAACAGGGCGAAGAACATCATGAACAAGCCTGAAGTGAACCAGAAACTGACCAAGCGAGCTCTCATCAAGGTAGATGTTTGGTAGCATTGAGCTGTGTTTACCTGTGTTAATATAGCTCTTAATCGTGATGTAAGCATTGGGGGTGCTGATGAAAATCTTCCTGCTTTTGAACTACACTGCTGCTTTAATCTTGTAACATTAAGGCAAATATTTCTGTAATCTATAGGAATACACTGAGGAAATTGAACGCCTGAAAAGGGATCTGGCTGCAGCTCGGGAGAAGAATGGAGTGTATCTGTCCTCTGAAAATTATGAGTATGTAACAACTTTACGTTGTTTATGGACTATGTAAAATTAAATCTATATGCTCATAATTACCGTAATCATTGCCAGTAATTGAAGGTTGATTCAGCTTTTCAGCATAATTGCCTTAACTTTCTTCTCTCAAGTATGGAATGAAAGGTTTTAGTTGGGGGAGCAAAATAAACATTAAACATGCACGCTTAGATGTCAGGACTTTGACAATATTATGGTGATTCTCTTCAGATCTATGAACAGCAAAATAGTGTCGCAGGAAGAGCAGATTGCAGAGTTCACTGAGAAGATTTCAGCTATGGAAGAAGAAGTGAAAAGGGTGAGTTATGTAGAAAATGTGAAGGTGTCACAGCTGGCTAAAAAGGTAAAAAATTATTATTGCCAAATGGTAACCTATAAAGTATGTGTATATTCAGGCAGTCATAATAAGAAATCAGCATTTTTCAGTACAGTTTCCAGGTAGAACTTAGATTTTTTTTATCGCAGAGATATTGCATTACTTCTACTGTATATGCTTCATTTTTTATCACTTTCCATTTAACGAAGTTTAATCATGGTTTTATAAGGATGAGATTTAAATGGTTTAAAAAATGATGGCTTACTAGCTGACTCGCTTTCTTTGTGTTGCATGTCAGGTTTCTGAGCTTTTCACAGACAGCAAGAGAGAGCTGGAGCAGTATGCTACAGACCTGGAGGAGAAACAGCAGCTGCTTCAGGAGACCCATAGGGATCTGCAGGAAACCAAGCAGAAGCTCTGTGAGGAAGAATACATAGTCTCAGAACTGAAGACCACTGAAGATGTGCTCTATGGCACTGCAGACCAGGTCAGGCATTGATGGCATGAACTTCTAATGACACGCTGGGAGTGTTCCTCCTCAATCCTGCGATCCATGGCCTGAAGTGCTTATCCTTTTAGAAAAACTGCTTATGCCGGACTGCATGCAATTTTTTGTTTCTTCTTTGGCTTTAAAGCCTGCATTTCATCTTTTGTAACAGTTATTAAAGAAGGGGAAACTGCCAGACTGGTTGTCTGTTTCATGCATTATAGAAGATTGTGTTAATCTTACTTTCTGCTTACATCTACTCTTTCTTTGCAGCTGTTGTCTACAGTTGATGTGAGCACCAGCGATGTATCTGGTTTACATAGCAAGCTGGACAGAAAGAAGAATGTTGAAGAGCATAATGCCAAAATGCAGGAGACCTTTGCGAGTCAGATGGATACCTTCTTCAGCCAGATGCAGAAATCTGTTGAAGAACAAAACCTTAAACATCAGGGAATGCTGGACATGTACAGAAACTCTGTTGGTGAGTACTTTATCAAGTATCCGAGTCTAATATTCAAATCCATTCATTCATATTTTAATTAAATTCTCTTACTCAAAAAGATTCGTTCTGGAGTGGAGAAATTGATACTCACTGGGTAAGAGTAACTCGTTTTTTATTTCAGATGACCTTCTCAACACCAATGCTGTCATCTTCAGCAACACGATATCTACGGTTGCCAAATCTTTTAAAAGCATCAAAGATCTCATTGGCACTGGAGTGTCCAGGTGTTTGGAACGGATGCTGGAGCAGGAATCTCTGTGTCAGAAAACGAAAAACAACCTGCAGCACACGATGGTAAGAAGTACAGAGCATTCACTCGGGATGGCATCGCAGCTGGGTCCCTAATGGAACAGGTTGCTTGTCCTGTCTTTCTCAAACTCCAGTGCTCGATAGGAATGAGTGGGGCCACATTCTGCAGTCTCCACTTACATTTGGACTCCTGTACTGTGTGGTTCTAGGCAAGACAAGTAAAGTAGTAGTTCAAAATGTTGTACAGAGTTGCTGACTGTCTGTTATTCAAACTTAGTAAATCTGCTGTGCATGTAATACACTCTTAGCAGGCTAATTTAACATTTCTCAGTTCTTTGATTTTGGTCTGATGGTTTTTTTTAATCCACTTGAATATGCTCCTACAATGCACATTGATGTAATGCCTTCTTTTATAAAGAACTTTAAGTGATCTTTGGGTTTATTCATCAGCAAAGGCAGAAAACCAAAAAAGACCTTTAAGTTTTCTGTTTTTTAATGTTGGCAGGAGGAGTACAGATCCGGAATGGAGGAGGGGCTGCTAGGACAATTTTTGCCTGGGATTCGAGCTGTAATGGAAATGAACGAAAGCCTAAAACGAACAATGCAGAGCCATTTCGTCTTGGCAGGAAAGGTAATGTACTGTATTAAAACAATTGATTTTCTGAATGAGCCTGCATGGCTAAGGTGATTTTGATGGTATCCATTGATTTATAATAACGCACAACTACTTACATGTAGTAATCATTCTTACAATACCTCTGGACAGGAAAATGAGAATGTTACAAACGAGAGGAAGCCACTTGGCCCATTTAGCCTGTTTGGTAATTAGTCCCTAGCTGATCTGAGAATATCTTCCGTCCATACCTCTTAAAGAAGCCAGGGTATTGGCTTCAGCAGCATGGCTGGGTAGCTTTTTCCATACTTAAGAGTATACCTATATTAAAATATACTCAATGCTATTATGAGGCAATTGTGATAGCTAATAGATATTTCAGAATATTGTGATGTATTGCTGTGTCTCAGATATGAAGTAGACCAGCTCGTTATGATTCATAATGATTCAGACACTACCACTTGAGCACTAAAATTGTTTCTACTCTTAGATGGAGACCATGAGAGAAGAGATGAGCTCATTCTTCAGAGACCACACACAGGCTCTGTCTAGGGTGAAAGAAGAAGCAGCTGCAGGAATCTGTGCTCTTCAGGCTGAGCAAGATCACCTGAAGCGCCAGATCAGCAACGCTAATGAAGAACACGCCATGGTTTGTATTTGCAAAAATAAACTTTGGAATGTGACCCATCATTCTGAAGCAAAAAAGTGATTTGACTCTTGTGTTGTGCAGGGCATATCCAAAGTGATTCTGTGTCTGCAGAATCAGTTAAACCTCTTGTCTGAGGAGACGCAGAAGAACTTCAATGGACTGCTGAACAAATCTGATGCACTTCAGGTTTCGACAAGTGCTCTTCAGCAGAGCATGTAAGTACTTTTGGTGGTCAGGTGCTCTTCCTTGTCAACACATTAGACATGCCTTCCATCTTCCCATTCCGACCAACAAAATAACAGCATTATAGGCCTAATTATGGATGGTAATGGCTTTTAAACAGTGTTATGTATATATTCCCTGGATGTGGTACAGTATATGCAAGTCTTAAATATTCACCGGTTTTAGAAACTGGTACTGTAATGAGAAGGTGAACCGAGATTGATTGCACAGATCTTTTAAATGTATATAATGGGTATCTCAATGCAATGCATGTGAATTAGGTAGAACCAGAACATGAGTTTTAAGATGTTCCCTAAAGCAAGCTGTTATTCTAGGCAATGCACTGATGTGGTGGAGAGTGCAGCACTGCAGCAGGACAAATTTGAGCGCTCAGCCGATGGTCTGATAGCCGAGATGAGGCAGGTGGCTGCAGAGGGAGAGCACATACTGGAGGAATCCTCGGAGCACTGTGGTTATCTGAGGACAGAAGTGACCAAGATGGGGGAGAAGACCGTTCAGTGGTGTGAAACGACAAAGGCCAGCATTGATGCCTTCGCTGATGGCCAGCTTGCTTTCATTGGCGAAGACAAGTCTTCAGCTCAGGGTTTACAACAGGTACAGCTTGCACACCAGCTTATGGAAACACTGCTGTCATTGTTATAGAAACGCCGTCTCTGCAATGGTCACATAAAGAATGCGCTTTGTTTTAGGCATGCTTCTCACTGTTCGTCTTACGTTGGGATCTGACAGATTGTCCACTTTTCGATCATGTTATTGGTCCACTGATTTAATTGCCAGTGCGCTGTAGTTGTCTTGATCTGAAAGGCTGACCCAGCGTTTTCTCCTGTCCAGAATGTGGAGGAGAGCTGTGCCTCCTGCTCCCAGCAGCTGAGTGGGCAGGTGAGAGAGCAGCAGGCTGGCACGGAGAGAGCCCTGGTGGTGTTGAAGGAGCAGACCCATGGGGACCAGGCCACGCTGCTCGATCACAAGACTCGGCTGCTCATCCACGCACAGGAGGGCTTGGACAAGGTCCTCGCGTTCTTGCAAGAAGACCTCAAGCAGGACACGCCAACAGGTAATTATTTGTAGTCTGTACTAGCTCTTTAATGTAATATTCTTGTCCCACCATTTCTTAAAAGAAGCTATTGCATTGGCTTCAAAGGCATGTCTGAGGAGCCCTTTCCATTTTTTTGGCCTTTTTTTTTTTAAGGCACGACACCTCAACGGAAAGATTACACCTACCCCAGGGTCCTTATTAAAACCAGGCCGAGGGATGAACTGCTGACCCAGTTCAGGAAACAGCAGCAGGAGCTTCTGGCAGCTCTTAACACCTGCGAACCTGTCCAGGAAGAGCCAGTCGATCAGGTACGATGGTTGAGTTATTAAACTAGAAGTGGAGGGAATGATGCTTGGCAAGTTTTCACACAATATTTACATGCGACCTGTACTTGTCAACTGCAAGATGCAATGCTTCTCTGTCAGTGGATTTTGTTGAGTGATGTATATGCTAGTAAACATGTCCAAATTGAAAAACTTATGAGGATGTCCATTCTACCGCTACTTTATGAAGATTTGAAAGTGTTTTTATTATCCCTAAGGGGGCAATTATTCAACAGCAGACAATATCAAGAAAACCACACAAACATGAGCAAGCATTGTTATAAATTTACACCATCACACCGCATGTAAATTGAACAAAAACCGTTGAAACGCAACAGAAGAGACTACAGCTGCTTGTCACCACCCTGCGAGTCAGACTAACTTCACGGCAGGATAGTTGGAGTTCAAGTAGGTTACAAACAAGAAGGCCACTCTGCCCATCTATCCTGTCTAGTAGTAGCGAGTTCATCTAAGGCGCTCATCCAGCTGTTTCCTGAAAGAAGCCAGTTACCCAGCATTGGGGGAGTGCAGAATAAACTTTGTGTAAAGTGTGGGGCCTCCGGTTTTCCGATTGAAAGGATTGAGGTTTGCACAAACCTTTTTTTTTCTGTTGTGGTGACTTTTTGTAATGATACCATAAGTTGTTCCCCTCCCCCTGTTGTTCAGGATTCCCTGGAAGACGACGTTATGACTAGCAGCAGTGACAGTGTGATCAGTGAGAGGTCGTGCATTGATGACAGTATAATGTGCATCGAGAGTGGTAGAGCCCCCTTCTTCAAGGTAAGGCTGCTCTAAGTGGAGTATCGTGCAAATGAACGGCTCCACTATTGCTTTGGAGTTGTAAAAAAAGAACATTCTCGCTTAAACATCTTGAAGCACAACCCAAAGCGATATCCTAACATGAAGTTTTTGCTTTTCTCTCCCTTTCAAGAGCAAGAAAGGCTTCCGAAAGGAAAACAAACCATCAGCCAGCTTTCTTGATAAATCAAAGATGTCAGAAAATCCAACGGAACTAACAGCTGCACGCTCGAAGCTGCCTCTCAGAGCACAAAACTAAGCTCTTGTCTTTATATTTCTAATAAGATTTTAAATTACTTTTTTAAAACTATATATTTTTTTGAAGGTCTGTCCTATTTCCAACTTTTTCATGTTGCTGTCCTGATTTTATTTGTTACACTTCTGATATAAAAAAACTAGTTTCTTTTCGGATCTTTACACGTTGTAATCTGTTCTTTTAATGATGTTCTTTGTAGGTATTGTATTTTATCTGTAATAGCACATTTACACAAGCACTGTAATGTTTAATATAAGGGTGTGTGTGTTTGGGGGAAGCTTGAGTAAACCTGATGCAATTGTTTTGTGGTATAATTTCACTGGGAAAAGTGCGTTTACCACATTACATGAAATCATCTGTAAATTATTTAAAACAATAAACATTTATGCCAACATTTTGTCACCGTTTCATTTTTTATTTAGAATCCAGAAAATCCATTGGCGTTGAACGGTAGATGGCGCAGTTGAACATCTAAATGTTAAGGTTTAACTTCTAAACTCCCATCCTCTCTGATTTCACGGCCCAGTACTTAAAAATCAACAGCTGAAGAAAGTATTCTGCATATTATTTTCGATACATCTTATCCTTTCTTTATATCGCATTGTATAAACTTTCCGGTTTATTTGTTACATTAGTTTTAAGCTAAGTATCATTCTAACTTAAAAAAAAATAACGTATTGCCTTTAGCTAAAAATACCCAACTGTTCTGTATACGAAACGCACTGTGACGCAGACTTACCTTTAATTGTTCCAATGCATTTTCCACTCTTATTGAGAATTTAATTCGTTCTTGCACTGCATCAGAATTATTTTAACTGAATTAATATAATGTGTTATATTATTGGCTCTGAAACAGGAGTGATTCATTTTTAAACGGGAGCAGCAGTTACTGACAATATCGTTGAGTAAACTTATTTTGTACTGGGAGCTTAGCTCCCTTAACTTTCTTAATCTGTTAAAAGTGCATTTCACCAGATCAGAAATAGATGAAACACAATGCTTGGCTTATGGAGAGATGTTGATTCATGCATTTATAACTTCAAAACGTTAGTTTTGCATATTGTTTTTATGTCTTCTCTCTGCTTGGGTAAAGCTTCATCTTGTTCAAAACACCGCTGTAAGGCTACTTTTTCACTCGACACTTTCTTAACAGATTACACGATTTCTAGAATCATTGCACTGGTTACCAGTCAATCTTGGAATTGACTCTAAAGAATAACTACAACAATACTGCTTGCATCCCGATTGATTCCAATAGGAGACCCGCTTTATCCAGCACGGAGACGCAGCACCCTTAGCTGACAAGGGGAAATTTATGGAGACTCTCATAGACAAGCCCATAGTGGAATTCAGTCAGCACGACGGAGTTAACTTCCTATTCCTTACTTTCAAAGCCATGGGATCACAAATGACCAAAGAGTCTGTACCACAGACCGTTCCTCCTACGGAACAGTGTTTCCAGTTAACATAGTGCCTCTTAGGTTTTGGGCCAGAAAGAGATCTCCCATTCCAGTACTGATTGGACCCAGCCTTGCTTAGATCCTGAGATGTGATGTGATCAGGTGAAAACGCTGGTGTCAGACCTCTTCATGATCAAGGTCTTTTGTTTCTGCTGATGCTACTTGTTTTACGTGCTTCAGTATGTTTTGCCAGACTATGGTCTTTGACATGTAAGAACTCTGTCTTGTATCAAAAAAGCTAGAAAAGAGCAGGAGCAAAAATGCTACTTCCCGGCTTATGTAATTCCCTTAGGACAGATAACGCAGACTGAAACCATGAATTATTTTAAGTCTAACTTGAAGACGTCTTTTTATATAAGTGTTGACTTTTTTGTATTGCTTGTTTTCTGTCATTTAAGTTTTGAAAAGTGACATTACATACTACGTAAAACTTAAAATAGCCAACTACACTGGCATGAAAAGCGCTATCTAAATATAGGTTTTACTTTACTATTTGAAATCCACGGGTATAATCTCATAAAGCATTACAAAAGGGAATCAGTTTGGTAAGACGCTCACTGTTACCTTATTGGGAAAAAAACAGCATGACGCTTTAGGGGTATTTTGTGTGTGCGAAAGTTTGCTTTTTGAAGATATCTGCAAAATAGTTTGCTTGGTTTTTTTGTGCTTATTCAGACCAGCAATTTGGTACACCGAAAAGCAAGACATGGCAGTTTCTAACAGTCCAAATTACAGTTTTGAATCCGTTGTAATAATCGTTGTCTGGCGTTTAAATTATTTTTATTTTAACTCGATTTCGACGTAAAAGATTTCTCATTTGTTACTTTTTTCAGATATTTAGGATATAATCTCCTGTGAATGCTTAATTTACTGTCAATGTAAAAATCTGTATGAATCGTTGTGAAAGATTAATCTGTTGTCTTATTTTTCAGATTGAAAAGCGTTTATGATTGATGCGCTTTTTACTTCAGATTTACTTTATACACTGTATAAGCATAGCAATTTTTATCTGAAAACCTTTCGAGAATGTTTAGGGTTTATGAGAGGCATATGAACAGAGGTCGATATCCGTCACTCGTTGAGATAACCAGGGTGCTCTGCATATTTATCAAGAACTTTTTCTCAGAAGTACAGACGCCAGGAGAGCGTTCCAATCAATTAACTATAATGATTTGCAAACTCCAAATATTAGCCATATACCGACTGCTTTTCGACTAGAGCGGTGTATTATCTTGTGCGTATCAAAGCGTAGTTTCCAACAGGTCCCCGTATCTCTATGAGAAGAGGTAGAAAGTGGACTTTATCATTAGTGACAACAGAAAATCAAACAAAACGCGAAAGTACACCATCCACTCGATAAAGCTGCTTCTCATGTTGGTCGTCTTTTGGTTCTTTTAATTCACCCTCTGCTTTGTCTTCTAGGTATTGACATTCTCTTGTACGTGGCTATGTATATAAATTATTTTTGCTCAAAAACGTCTATTTACATCCCCGTAGTTCTTCGTGAGATTGTTCACGATTGCATACTTTTGAGGACTGTAAAACCATTTATTCTCAGTAACAACAATTTACGTGAAGCACATCCTTGCGATGGAAGAAGAGAATACCATGGGAATATTTTAGAAAACCCCTTTTCTATACCCGTGAGTTATTCAAAGATTCAAATAGTTTGAATAATGCTATTCAATATTATGATAAATATAATAATTGAAGGTATTTGGAAGTACGTACAGTTTGACTTCAACGAACCATATTAATAAACTGTGAGCACACAAATTAAAGAAATGCTCTATTTATATGTACGGTTTAAAACCTATACCACTGATAATCTTTCTGTATTTGTCTTGCTGTCGTAATCACAATGTCTTTAACGAAAATGACGCTGTAAACTTATTACTTCCGTGTGAATGTGTATTTTGTCAGTATTTAATTCATCAATAAGAGGAAACAGATAAAAAAGAAGAAAATTGGATTAATCAGCCTACTATCTAGAACCAACAAAGAAGAACACATTTGTAAAGACAATATACATCAATTAACTTGATGACCATTTTAATTGAGTCTTTTATATGTCGTTTTCACTGACATTGTCCTGTTCCCTCTATATTAAATTTTCAATGTTTTAACTGCTGATAACATGCAAATCCTAAAATAAACAGTATGAACTTGGATGGAGCACATTTAAAGTGATTTATAACGTATTTAAGGGGGAAACAAGTCTTCTTTGAATGAGTACAGTCTTTAAAAATAGGTTAAAGGCTTGGATACTATTGTACCGAAACAGACATTTATGTCATGAGCATCTCACAATTCTACACATGTATTAATCACACAAACGAAACCCTTTTCACTTCTCTTTGGGTTTAAAACCAGCGTGGCAAAATGAACTTCGTATTTATATCCCTTTCAATTTGCCCAGCATCCTATTTTAATAGCTATCGTATAACTTATACCAAAGACAAATCGAAGGATATTGGTTCTTTAGGCATTCATACACTTTCTTAAACGTTAAAGCACAAGTGACAAATAATTACTTTTCCATTTTATATAACTAGCGACCTTATCTTCTCAGTAAAAATAAATGGTTAGGCCAAGTGCTATTGATTTTTAAATACGACCAGATGCTACGATGGAAATCATTTGTGTAAACATTTCAGCCGCCGCTGAATGCAAATTGTTTCAGTTTTCAAATAATAGTACCATAACTTACGGATTTTGACCACCTCTTTTTTTTCTGAAAGACAGTTAGGATGCTTGTGCGAGTAATATCGACAAAGAAAGACAATCGCCTGAAAGTGTAGTTTACACTCGAGTTTACCCTTGTCTTTGAAAAGTGTTGCTTTGTACTTTCACCTTGTAGATAGTGTGGTCCATTGTATTGAGATGAGCGTAATACATATTTAAACACCATTCTCCAATTTAATCACAAGGTGAGAAATACCCAAGTGACCGACTCGAGAACGCTGACAGAACAATACTGAACTGAATTTTACGGATGCATTTCTTTTTTGTTTCCTTTATAAAAGGAAGCACAGTATACAAAAATCATATTAAAAGGTTACACAGGTAAATGATCCTAACCAGATATAGCAGTACAGTTTTTATTTTACTTCGCTTTTTTAAAGCAGAGCAAAACGTTAAGCATTAAAATTGATAACAGTGTTTGTTTTTTGTAACATTTGGAAGAACTGCGACACGATTAGCACAGCTACACTATATACCTATTAATTTAATACGCGTAGTGAAATAGTTGTAATGCATTTCCCTGGCTTGTTAATTGTGATAAGGCTGGTTTGAGCGCCAGGGGGTTGTTCAATGTTTTATTCCGCTTGCCAAGTGCACAGTGCGTGAGCCAATCAGAGACCAAATGTACCTGCAGGAAGTTGACAGACTTTATCTCCTCCCACTCCCAATACTTAGATATCGACTAGACAGGCGATAAAGCTGCCAATAAACGAGCGGTGCCCGATGGACAAAGAAGAGCTTTTTCACCAGCCACACTTTTATCTTTTCGTGAGCTAACGGGACACAACAAGTTGCTGTGCGAAGAGGAATTCGTTTTTGTTTTCAAACCTAGTGGACATCGGGAAGAAAAATGCAATACCAACACCCCACGTCCTCAGCAATGAGTGTAAGTGTTCCTCTTTACGCTCCTACTCCAGTTCAGCCCGTTCACCCTACTCCCTTCTACATCGAAGATATCCTGGGCAGGAATGTGACTCCGACGTCTACTACAGTGGTTCCGACACCCACCCTGCCGTCTCCAAATTCGTCCTTTACAAGTTTGGTAGCCCCTTACAGGACTCCTATATACGAGCCGACTCCGATCCATCCGGCTTTTTCGCACCATGCAGCCCTGACAACCACTTACGGCACCGGAGCCTTCGCCAACTCTCTCTACCCTTTCCACCGCACAGTAGGGGATTACACTCACGCGCTAATCAGGCACGACCCTCTCGGTAAGTAAAGCCCACGGCGCACTTCCTACGCCCGGACACAAGGTCGCTGTTTTTTGCAGGGTGCCAGCTGTGCATCCTTGATATCGCTGCCGTACCGTGTTTTAAGCATGCCTCTAATAGTTCAGTAGTCTGTAACATATTTGCGTTGTATCCTCGGCATGTCCTTACTTTCTTCATGTAATAACCGATGCCGTGCTGTTGGACAGCTTCATGATACGTGATTGATAAGATAACGGGAATTAGTGGTCTCAAGTACTGCAGTCACACACAGACTGAATTCACAAGCCATTTTGGTAAAGTAACACAGTGGTAAGGGTTTCTGTAATCACTTCAATTGACGCATTGGTGAGGTTAGGCGTTTGAAACCTCAGATTTCCGGATTAAAAGTAAAATTATACTTTTAAGAATGTGTGGGATTTTAGAGCGAGGCATTTAGTATTTTGTTGATGATTCATAATGATTTTTAGACCTGGTGTGTTACTACATTTAGTTAAAAAATTATAGCTTCAGGCCTAATATTAAAATGAATTGCAAATGTGATTTAATATTTTATAGTTTGCCAGTCTCTACTTCGCTCTTGAAGTAAATAATGAAACCTTTATTGTTATTATATAACTGCACACTTCTTGTACAAATCAGGTTGTTTTTATTACCATATAACTGCAATCATAATATTGGCGTTGTGGGTTTTTTTCCCCGTATATTGCGAATGTATAATATACTTATCTATGTGTATAAACATTACCTCACCCTTTTCCAGCAGGTAAATTCTTAGGTAAACCACATATCGAAAAGAACTGGGAAAAAATACAATTTTAAGTCGTATGAAAAATTTTAAATAAAAAATCTCAGTCCATCATATTAAATGCTTTCCAGGTGTATATATAGTTGTCTTTGAATGACCGAAGTGTTTTAAATATATGGTAATTTACTTATGTGTACATAAATCCCACTTCATTTAGATTAAATAAAAAAAAATGTCCTGTCTGTGTTGCAACTTGCACTGTATACTATAATAGCAATAAATAGTCTTTGTGGACTTTTTGTAGCAAAATATGTATTATTCAAGTTAAACAGAATGGTACTGTACTAATCATGTGCCACTTTAAACAACTTTGAAATTTTTACTTGTGCTCCAATGAAAGAAATTTACAGAAAGTGGTTCCTCCAACATATCACCACGTATTTTCGCCTTATTGTATGTTTGTTTCCATTTTTACCTTTTCATTATGAGGGATTCGGAAACTCTGTTATAGCACAAACAATTCGAGTTCTATGACTGTGATATCCAGACACTTGTTATGTTAACAATTGCGTGTGGGTCTAGGGTTAACAGCCCATGTTCAGCAAGCCTGACCCTTTTCCGTTCATACAGGAAATCTTGAGCTCTCGATAGGAGTAAATCTGGTTTCAGAAACTGTTAAATGTTTTCCTGGCTACCTCAAGCAGGCTCTTCCCCGGGAGTCGTGCACAATACAGATTATTTTATCGACATCCTCAATACAGACATATTCAGGAAACACTCGACTTCTGATAGCCGGGATCCGTTTTTCTGATATTGTTCATTTCCTCTGTGTGGGATGTGACTTTATGGCAGCTAAAATAACTAGTTGCTTCCTATTTTTCTACTCCCCCTAATGAAGCATAAAGTATAAGCAAATGAAGCATAAACTGACGCAAGTTAAAAAAAAAAGTTGCATCTTATTTGGTCTGTATTTCAGTTAGGTACGCCTGATTTGATGTGACTGCCTAATTCGCCACCTTCTTTTTCTGAGAATTATTGACACATAAAAACACTTTTTATAACGCTTTGGATGGGCCCATTTTATCGCACAACCGTGAGATGAAATGTGTAAAAAATAAACCGGCACTTGTTGCTCAATGGGAAGAGTATGTGCGACACACTGTTTTGATAAAAGTGCGCAGAACATTAAAAGACCATGAACACAGAGCAGGCGTTTGTTCCTACAGATCATCTACAGTGTACAGTCATTTGTCCCTTTTTCTTGTTTACATGAGGTGATCTCTGACCCCAGTGCAAAGACGTGGAATTTAGGGTTCCCCACTTAAACCGTCGTTTTTTTTTCGTGATTTCTAAATTGCCTCCGAAAAAAAAAACGAAATCGCAGCTTCCTAAAGAGATTTCTGTAAAGGAGAAGACGGATGCTGTAGACACTTACAAGATAGACCAACAGGAAACATATTGACGGAAATTTTGCCATAGCTTTTGTGACTCTCGGCGGTCTTCATAAACCTCAAGTGGAGCGGTTTTTTGGTCTGAGTGAGAGAGGATACACTTTTATTCTCTATCCATATTTACATATCGAAGCATAAACAGCGGATGATTTAAATACTAAAAATATGAGGTGTAGTTTCCACTATAGCTTTCACTTCTTTTTTCGTGTGTATGTAATTGGTGTACCTAATCATTGAAACCAATACACTTTTATTATAAATTCACTTCTCTATTAAAAATAGTACATTACTGTTTACGTCCTATGCAAAATAAAGGTTGTTAAAGTCTTTGTGTTATTTTGTTTGTGTAATGTTTAAAAAATATTTGATTTTTTTCCACAAAGCTTAGTGGCTGTAATTAAACATCGTAATTTCGATTATTCTTTTTAAAGGTAAACCGGTTTTATGGACTCCGTTCATACAAAGGCCGCTGCACAAAAGAAAGGGAGGTCAAGTGCGATTCTCCAACGACCAGACCATTGAACTGGAAAAAAAGTTTGAGACGCAGAAGTATCTGTCGCCGCCAGAGCGAAAAAGACTCGCGAAGATGTTGCAGCTCAGTGAAAGACAGGTAAATACACACTTAGTAAGTCCCCAAAGAAACAATGACGTTGTCACTTTCCCTAAGAGGCCTGACAGTTCCGGCCTGCAAAGCTAATTTTGTGGAAATTAGAAATAAAGAGGTTAATCGATGGATTCTAGCAAAAGCACTTGAAACCTAAAAAAAACCTTCCATTATATGATTAATTAGAACATTCTGTGCCTAATGACCTTTCATCAGTTTTTATGTTATACTTTTTTTATTCAAAAAGACATTTGGAAACATTATATACATACAGGATTAGCGAACTAATCCATTGTTAATGATTAAAACGTTATTTTTCTGGAGTAAATTACTTAAACATGAAACTCTTAGAAAATACGAGTATTATTTGAAAGCTACAGACAGCACAGAGAAATGAACAGTAGCTTTGCCATCAGTGGCAGCACCAGTCCACTTAGGTACTCCCGGTCATCTTTCTCTGCCTTTTTTCACTAAACTCGTATTAAAGAAATAAAAATAAAAATTAATACTTGGAAGAGTTTTCTTTCAGAACAATGCAGTAGCTTACGTCTTTAAGTTTCCTTGAAGTTCACAGTGATCTGAATTATGAAAATCTGACATGTTAACAAATTAACTTTAAATTACACTTTTAAACTAAACTTAAACGATTAAAATTAATGGGAATATTAGAAAAAAAGAAGACATTCCAGGTGTTTTTAAATTTTAAATCGTACTGCAGCGTCCTGATATTCCAGTCGTGATCGGTATGTCTAACTGCGATGTTCGCTGTTTTCAGGTGAAGACTTGGTTTCAGAATCGCAGAGCGAAGTGGCGACGTCTCAAGCAGGTATCATCTCAGTCTGATTTCTATCTCTCCACGTCTTAGGTTTGCTTAATAAAGTCTTTCTACCGCTATATCCCCCGAAGAACTATGTTCCAAAGTATCTTTATCATCTTCATCTTGAGTGAGAAGACAAACTAGTCGTCTAAGAAATCTGGAACAACCTATTGATGCAGCACTAATGTTAAAAGGGCCTAATGCAACTACCGTATCTACATCGTTTCTGGGCCGGCAGGTTCACCAGTGAAACCTGTACGCTAATTGAATTGCAAACCAAGATGAGTTTAATAAAATTAATGTGTGTCAGATAACAGATGGACAAACTCCTTATGTTCGACTTATTCCGATATTGTGACGTTTCTAATAAGATAATGTAATATTTTTTTTCTTTAGTATTAGTATTGCTATTAGATTTAACGATGTTCTCAAATCACTATTTCTCAGATTGGTTCTGCGCCCAGTCTAAAGCAGCTACATCACTTGTTTTCTACTTATAATGTGTTTAAATGTCAATGCAAGGGCGACCTTCAATATTCCTTCATTTATTCAATTCATTTTAGAGATAATTTTACAAGATTATATTTTTTAATCACTGTTCATGACAATGAACGGATCGCGCAGGCTAAGCTAGTTTAGTTTTTATTAAAAATGTAACCTTACAGAATTATATGTAGGTGAGTCAAAGTTCTTCAAAGAGAAAATGGAACACAACATATTTGTGCAACACTATATTTTGGTCAAAACGTTGAACCACATGAAACGTTTGGATTAAACTGTACAGGGGTTTAGCTAGCAGAAGACATTTTAATTAAATATTCGAGCGTCTGCATTTAATATCTTAAACATCAACTGTCAATATTTTCGTTGTTTACAGGAAAACCCACAAGGAAGTAAACGGGATCTGGACGGCGAAAATTCGGAGAGCCACTGCGATCAGAGACAGGAGATGGGTTTGTCTACAGATCCGGGAAGTAAAGAGATAGCGCTCAGCAGATCTCACTCTTCTTCCTCGCCGATATCTCAGGGAGAAATCGAATCAGATATCTCGGACGATTCGGATCAAGAGCTGGACATTGGGGAAGATATCAACTTCTCTTTAAATGCATAATAATGATAGACTGCTGGAAACGGAGGAAGTATGCTTAAGACTTGCACTTTCCTTTACCAAAGCACCAACGTTAGGACTTGATGTGCATGTAATTACAGTATTTGTAAATATGTAAATTTCGCTGAAAGGAATGACATCCTTTCAATATAAATTAATAAATACGCGTGTATGTTTTTGTACATCTCTTCTAGCACAATATAGTTTTGTTCAATTTAAACTAATTTGTACGATATGCATTAAAGTTTCATACTGTACGTTTCTTCAAAATATATATTTTAATTAAGCATTTTTAGCGTCCCAGTATTCTTTGCATAGTGAAGTCTCTAAGAAAAGGTCAGTTTTGTCCAGACTGTTTAATAATGTTTTTTTTGTTTAACGGAAAATAAATCACAACAGCATACAGCCTTTGCTCAGTTTTGGAGTTGTATTTCTTGACAAGCTCTTAAGTATGTATTGTATGTAGCCTGCATCTTAAACCAAAGACTGTACTGAACAACAGGTATAATCTGTTTGATTTTCAAAAGGGGCACATTCCACAAGAACAGAGGCAGCAATGCATTTTTACGGGGGATTTTCTCCTAGGTAATTTTACATTTGTAGTTTTCAAAAGGAGTATAATTCTCCAGCCCATCGCCGGCGAAATGTAGGCAATGCATTTCTTAGGGCATCCAAATATCTATCGTGCAATGTAGCTGCAAAAGTGAAGAAAAAGGCATATACTGTATAGCCTAGTACTGTATATTTACCATCCCTGGGACATTTGAGTATACTCTGAAGTATACACCCCAGCACTCTCCCCTTTCCAGCGTGTTGTTAGCAGTCTTTATGAACCTATGGGATGAATGTATGGGCTATATTACAAAACAAAATCTTAGTCACCCACAAGAAGTTAGTAAAAATTAAATTCATGTAAGAATGTTAAATTCACGGATTACAACACGTACAGGGAAATTAATCTTGTGATGAATCTACTGACTGGGCTAAGATACATGATGGACCGTATCAATGTGAATCCGACAAAGCAATAACTACAAACCTCGTGTGTTTTAAGTACGCAAGATTCATATTATATTGTTCCCAGAACATGCGCAATGACTATTTGAATGTTACTTTCTGTATAGTATTTCTAAGAACTAGGCAATGCAGATCACCAACTGGGTATTATAAAATTGCATTCCAATATTTTAATAGTTTTTGAGAAATACTGTCCCAAACTGGACAGTCTTACATTTAAACTAATTTTCATATTTAAATGCATGGGGTGAACGTAAACCTGTTATAAATACACACAGGTTTGTCTGAATTGTCTCACTTATCTGAATTGCCCACAGATTATAAAAGACTCAACTGCAAAGGTCCTGCATGAAACACAATCAGATTTTAAAAACATTTTAAATAACGGGTAAGTGTATTTGGAGTTTTACCGTGTTCTTTTACTTAAATAATGAGGAATTTTAGATCCAGCAATATGGGAGGGGTTATGCTATGTCTGAATTAGTACCCGTGCTTTTTTGTTCTAATTGGGCATTTTATTGTTTTGCCCTTACGACCTTTGGAAATATATTTCACCTATCTGGTATTGCAAAGGTAGTTTGGGGCATGTTCGTCTCCTGTGCCCTTACTGAAAACCAGCGTGATAGTGTTTATTATGTGACTGTTACATTTTGAGTCATATTATCACATTAATTCCAAGCTGAGCGACTCAAGAACAACGCCTTTATTCAAATTTTATTAAGTAAAATTGAAAGATCTATAATTTCTCAGTCCCGCGCGGGGCGTCTCTTGTTCGCATGCAACGTGGTTTGATTTTAAAGCGTTTCTAACCCTTAAATAATTCTCATTTTCCCAATGCAAATCTGGGATGATAACGCTTAGAGATGGTTAGAGTTTAACTGCTGAAAGGGATAGATTGGCCGAGAGACTTTTTCTCGTTTATAAATCATTCTTATGTAGTCAAAACGCAAGCAATTCTGTGTACCTCAAAACTGATTTTAATGAAATTGCTTCTTTTTCCTGCCTTAAAAATACATTTCATTTTCATGAAATGCCACAATGTAGATGTTTATCTTCCCAGAACATATAAGTATCACTAAACAATCTACAGCAAAGTGATTTGGAAAATATTATGTCTTTATTTCCACTGTCTTCTCTTTTTTTCTGAAAGTAAAGGTGATAATTATCAGATATTATAGTATTAGACATTAGAGTTGTAATAGTAAGTTGAATTACCGGTATTGCAAAATATTCTTATTTATAGAGAAGTGTATTGTTGCTTCTTTATTTTTTACACTGTATTACTATTTCACATGCAATTAGCTTGACACCATTTGCGTTAAACAGACCTTAGATTTATCCAAATCCTTTTAAAAACAAGTTGGTAGAAAATGCAGATCTCTGTCAAAAAATTAATAACATCAAAGTAATTTCTGTTGTTTATACTGTCATTTCAATAATCTAACAGCGCACTCCCAAATGTCTATATACTCAGAATATTCTATTCTAAGTTCTTGGATTTCTTAGAAAAACAATAATTATCTTACTAACTAAATACTCTGCATCAGAGCATAGACCATGTAAATAAATAAGAGACTTCACTTTTTATTTGTTTTTTAGTTCATTGCCGGACACGTCCTTGCTCTGTCTTAGAGATAAAAAAAAACCCAAAAAATATTCAGTCTCGTTGTGGTTTTCAAATGCGTATGTTTTACCTTGTTTTTCCGAAAAATTGATTTACTAGCATGTTAAGTATTAAAATTCTCCCTCTTCCGTAGAGAACTCTATAATTAAGCTTTCCGTGTGGAGTCTTTAGAGAACGTTTGATTAGGGTCGTTGCCTATGAGAAGTTTATAAAGATTGCTAATTAGTGTGAGTGTCCGCAATTTCCTACACTGTGCCTTCCCTTGTCAAACCAACAAAGACTTCTGTGTGAAACCAAACCGTTTGTCATGCCTTGTGCAATCAACTTTAATTTTTTTAAATTAAATTCCTTTGAAGAACAAAAAAGGGTTTATAAACAAAAACTACCACACAAACAAATTGCTTTTTTAAGGACTACAGCGGGCAAACCTTAACAGAATGTGTTAACTGAAGAGTTTGTCTTTGGTATACCTGCTGTACAATTTATACCTATGCATAACAGCTGTTTTACTCATTACTGCAGTTGTTGAGGTGCTATGGAAATCCTTGAAGGGCCTACGTAAAAGTGACACACTCCCACATTTGTAAAGCAGGCTTGCTGGTTGGGTTAACTCCATTATAGTCTTCGATTGTTATCGTGACTTTTATCTTCTTGATCATCGTCATTCATTCCGGACAGTATTATTCAGTATGATCCAAGAATTACTTTCTTAACTGTCCATATAGCAGAATTAATTTAATCTCTAGACACTAGTTTCCAATATTGGATGCTTTGAATCCTCGATTGTTTGCAGGTAGGCTATTTCCTCATGAATCAGCACATATACGACCTTTACAACACAGGTTTGCTCTTGTCTTTGACTCTTTTATCAGCAGATTCAACTTCAAAAAGGTTATCATTTAGCAGAAAGGCAAACATAGAAGAGTTTTTGGTAAGCATAATGTTAATCATTGGAAGACCTGTAATGATTTGAGCATGACAGTGTGTGATTAATCTTTCAGTGTATGCACCTGTAATTTTAGTCATTCAGTTCAATGGCCTTAAATATGTAAAACCTTTCCAAAGCTAATAGTGGGTGTATTGATTTTTTTATATTGTGTAATGGTTCACAAATCATGAAAAAGTAAAACTAACATTAAAAAAGAACATACACAACTTGTTCAGTAAAGATTAAGTGAAACATTCATTTATTCAACGCCTTTTGCCAGTTCAAGATTCAGAAAGTCCATCGAAGTGATACTTGGCACAACTTCATTGGCCTTTCTAGCCTATAATACAGAGGACAAATGATATCTGGACTGCAAAGGCTTGAAATATCAACTCTAGTCACTGTGAATACCACACATACACAAAAATATCTTTTCACCTCTTCTACACGTCTCATTTTAAGAGGAAGCTGAAAGATGTTGATAAAGTAGTAGCTGGTAATTAGGAAATAGCCATAGATCGCAGAGTGTTTCTGGCAATGATGAACCAATAAAGTGAGTTTAATTATATTTAACCTTTACAATACCTAACCATACCATAATGCTACCAAGTAGAAATGGTAATGATGTTCATTTGCTTGTACTGTAAATAATCCAAAAAAGATTCAAGTACAGCTAATAGTCAAGTGAAAAGAGTGGAGTTTAAGGTTAAAAGAGTGTTCAGGTAATGGGGCCCAGGGGGACTAAGTCTGTTATTGGAATGATGTGACCTATCTTGAAAGCTTAGCAGAGTTTACCACTGTTTGGGGAGTGTGGCACTATGAGAAATATTCCAAGATTAGAATAACATTCTTCCCTAAAATAACAAATTTATTCCCACATCTGCCAGAATCAGAATAGCATCCAATCCTACTGGGGGAGGAAGGAGGAAACTCAGTGGAGCTGCAGCTCTGTATGAGATTTTCTGTCACAGCTTGAGGAACAGAGAGCGAGCCTGTCACATAATCATCTTTTATGTGATGTCCATAAATGTCCAATAATACGTTTTTACTGTAAATGTCTGCAAACATTCTGTTCATTGTTCCTGCTTTGGCGACACTAATTCATTGGCCATGTCGATAAAGTTCTTTAAATCTGAATTGGAATTTCAGCAGCGCTGTGTACATTCTGATCCTGCAAGCGGCCTTGATCCAGTCCCAACATGGGCAGGGCAGTGAGGCACCCGTCCAACAAAGAGCTTGAAACTCTTAAGTTCTGCTTCAGGAATTTGCAGCTCCAGTGCTTTTGATAGCAATCGCAATGGTGTCATAGAATGGCAGCTCTGAATGATAGCGCCCACCTGAGAGGTTGTGCTGGAAGGCTTTCACCAGACAAACCACAGCTCAAGCCACATCAATGCTCTGGTGCAATTGTAACAAGCAGTGCAAAAGTGACAACCTGTGCAACACGTCATGATGTCTGATAAACAAAGCAACGTTCCTCTCATCAGAACTGTTCGCTTGGATCTAAATCAAGTCTCAGTGCATCCGGTGAGAGTGTTTTTTCAATATTCTTTATTGGTTATTTTTTAATATAAAAATTACAGGGCTCAAAATGTGACATTTCAGAAATTTTCACAATGGCCAATTATCAAGAGGAAATGAACTAAAATTGATTTCACTTAATTTGATCACTATTTAACTCTATAAACTAAAGAGTATAACTCTAAAATATTATACATATATTTTTTGTTATTCAAAGTATAAACAAACACATTACCAAATAATTTATACTGTGCTATGGAAAGGTCTTCATTTGCACAGATCTATTTAGTTAATTTTTTTCTGTATTTGAACAGATAATAG